TGCCAGTCTCTTCCCTTCAGAGATATTTTTTAGTGGCGCGCCTAGCTTTTGCCCACATTTGCCAGTCTCCAAACAGCCCACAGCTCACATGACGCCGCAGACTTGCGGGTGAAGACTTGCCTGTGGACCTCTCATTATCAGCCTGAGAATCAGCTTTATTTCAGGGCCCCCCTGCCGTGTCTCTGCCTGTACCCATCCTTCCATCTTTACAAAAGTCAGTTTGACTTTTGCATAGATGGGGCTCCTGGAGAGCTCTGCATCTTTTCGGAGGAATTTTGAGGAGGTATTAGGAAAGGTTCTGCAGAACAGTGGCTATTCCAGTCCGAGTATCATTAGGCATGGTATGTATGCTATTAAGCATACATACTGAGCAGAAAAATACCCTTTATCCCGTAGATAACACTACCTTAGACGTGACTCTGGTGTAGCGCTGAGCAAAAGGGAGACATCAGTGATAAGCTGAGGAAAAAGCAGAGATCGCGGTTTACACTTTACTTTCCACACTTTCGCTCTTAGAGAAGAATCTACCCTTAAGATGTTGGGTGAAGTACAACAAATCCCACGTTCCCCACCTTGGCCCAAGGCGCATAGCCCTCCACTGCGGAAATCGTGATGCTCAGGCACGTCAAAGTAAGGTGATACGTTTTTCCAATCACTTCTTTGATGTTATGCGACTTGAATTAATTCTAATGGGTACAAACCTGAAGATGCCAACACTTCTCCCTCCAAGAGCGGGTTGTTGTTAACCATCAGATGGAATTGCTTGGACCTGGCGGGCCTCAGAACCACCTGGACCTGTTGATACCAGCAACACACAGGCATTTATTTCTCCATACAGGGCTTTGTTAAGGACTTTTAGAAGACTGTTGGGAAAAAACATGGACTTTACAAAAGAATTTTCTACTTGGAACAATCTATCTGATACATACCATATTAATTTAGATGTGTGTTTTAAGGATGCTTCTCCAGCCAGCAGCTAGCTGTGGGAAAGTTACATAAATCAGTACGTTTACGTTTGTACTAGCTAACAAGCAATGAACACTTCTTTCCCTTCCAGTTAGCACTTGCGTGTGTCACGGGTGCAGCTCTCTCTTCCCCACCTTTTCCACTGTCTTTGGGATATGACCGCAGAAATTGTCTTATTGAATTACACTGATAACCCCTCTAATTTAATACTCTCTCTACAGTAATACCCCGCACACCAGCTGCTACAGAGGAACATTTAACACTCCTTATAATTGACAACGATGGAACAGCACCACCACGAGGAATGCATTTCCTCGGTGTCTCTTACGGATCTCCCCCTTCCCTGAAGCATGGCCATTTATATTGTTATCCTAGCTAACACACCTGTGAATGTTTTACGTCACAAAAATCTGCTATGTTTTAAGACTTGGTGGTATCCTGGGGCAACGAGTCTTGTAGGTTAACACGTTAATTGGGTATGCAATGTTCTGCCCCTTAACAGTTGCAAGGGGCTGCTTCCAAAATATCACGGAAAAGGCTACGTGAGGGCATGGAACGACTTGCCCGTGTCGTTCGGCAGCTTGCACGCCTCTGTCACGTCCTTTCTCTTTCTTCTGTGAACGGAAGCAGTCCTAGCAACTAACGCAACCGAAGACAGGACAGTTTGAAAAAGCGTGACGCTATCTTCCCAAACCTTCTGTTCACGCTAGATCGCCCTTGCTGCTCGCTGCAGAGCTCCAGGCAGCCTGCCAGCTCCTACGGATACTTGCACGAATGGCTTCGAGACCTCCTTCACCCCGCAGCAAGAAGAGTTTCAAGGAAGGATGAAACAGGCCAGGTTCAGCCCGGCTGGAACGCCTCCTCCCACGACGGGGAGGCACGCCAGGCACGCACGCAGCCCCGCGCCGCGACTGCGGCTACAATACGTTAGAAAGACGTTACTAATTGGATGTCGCCGCGCTCCTGTGGCAGGGAGGGGACGGGAACGAGGTTGGGCTGGCTCGTAGAGTTCAGCTTTCTTCCTCGACAGGGAAATTTGCGGCGTAATTAAAATGAAATGTTGATGTCTGTGTTCCATGTTGAAATATTGATGGAGGGAGGCATAAAACATTTTATGAATGCATAGTTCCATTTTGTAATTTACTGCCCCCAAACACCATTTTCACAGAACCGACGCAGGAAGAAAGGGGTAGAGATGAAAGAGTGATAGTGTTTTTATCGCCGTAGAACAAGGGAATGGAATTGGACTGAGTTAAATACAATGTATTGAAAGGCAGGCTTTCGCTCTGCACTTTATATATAGCAGGAGCGCCTTCGCACCTGGAAAGTATCCATTTAAGCCTACAGAACTTTTTCCCCTTTCCTTGTGCCCTACCGCGTAACGCTGGGAGGATGGCTATGTTGTTCAGCAGCAGTGAAAAAGAGGCGACTCCCCTGTTTATCAGGGAGCTTGGGGTAAAGTACTCACAGCTGGCCTGAGAAGCCACACAGGCAGGACTCTGGACCTAGAGGTTAAGTCCATCACTTGCATTTACCTGCCGCTGCGGTTTTTTTGTTTGTTTCTTTCTTTCTTTCAAAAGACAGCCCCACCAAGCATGGTTTGGCCAAACGGAGGTCTTATTCCGTTCGTATTTCGAAGGGGGGAAGAGAGGAAATATTCAGAGCGCTCTTTAAATGATCTAATTATGGCACAGGCTAGAACAGAGGCCTTTGCCGTGGCTGCAGCAAGGGCAGCAGCTAACTCTGCCCGAAGCCCACTGGCCACCAGGACGTGGCCTCCAGAATCAGCAAAATCCCAGTTCTGAGCTCGTTTCAGCCAAAGAAGAGACTGCAGCATCTATCAAACCTCGGGCAAGGGGAACGGAAAACAGCAGGGTACGGAGACGGCAACCAGCTCTGAAGAGGGGGAGGGAAACATCACCACGCGCCAGCAAGAGAATTTAAAGTACAGTTTCACTCCACTTAATCACTGCTGTTTTCCTTTTTGCTCCGTCAAATCAATTAATGAGCTGCAGCAAGCAGGCAGGAGTCAGAGAAAACATTATTAGCCCGGACGCGGGTCAGGCAGGGCTGCCGACCTAGCGACCCAACCATCTGCGCTGCCGCCCGACAGTACTCACCATTTCCCCTCTTCTGCCGTGCTCCTGCCTGGCTCCCTCTCCTCCCGCGCTACTCCCTCCTTCTCCCCTTCCGCTGCTCCTTGTCAGCGGGTTCAGGGAGGAGAGAGGAGTCGCTGGCCACACACCTGGGACGGGAGAGGGCCCCAGGGTGCTGTGCCAAGGTCTGCGCCCTAGGACAAGGAGAAAGGTCAATCTGCAGAAACCTCTGCAGCGTCAGAGAAAGAAGTCTTCATCTTGGGCTGGCTACGCCGGTCACAACCACACCACACGGACACACTGCACATTTCACTCCAGGCCACCCAAACAGCAATGCTTTGAGATGTAGTTAAATAGTACCTCCAAATTCCAAGCCGAGGACACACAAATCAACCATAGCTCCCCAGGCTGACCCACACACCTGAAAAAGAGTATTTGCATCACCCACACACAGAAGCTTTTTGAATGTTCAGGCCTGCACCAACCTACCTGATTCCAGGTCCCTAACTTCACATCCTGGCCACTGTCAGGTCTACCCAGAGCTGCAGAGGGAGGCAGGTGCCTCAGGGAGCAACGTGACCCCGCGGGGATCTGAATAACCCCTCAAGAGGCATTCAAGCCCCCCCAGATCACCTGATGACACGAGGGACCCAGGCACTTCACTCAGGGGGTCTACAACAGGTTGGGCTCTTGCTACTGGACTTCAGCTGCAGATGCAGGCACAATCTTGCTTCAGTTTTTAAACTACTACTCGTTCCAAAAAATGAAGCTTTTATCGTTAGACTTCAGCTTTCTATTTTCTACCTATACTTCTTCAAAGTTGCATTTCTTCCGATAACCCCAAGAACTTGGTTTTCTGTGCCAACCAGAAACATTAACATTCCAATGTGTTCTCTCTGAATTCAAGCATTTCCACGTGCAGTTTTGAATCCCCAACACAAAGCATATGCTGTCCCATAAGCATACTATAAAGTGAGGCAGAAGAGACAAATAACAGAAGGAAAACCCTACAAAATTCAATATTCAAAAGCTAGCTGGTTGGAAGAGTTCTTACTAGCTACATATGCTGTGAAAAATTCATTTCATTTTTAGGTTTGATTCTCTTTTAACACAGACACATGGGATTTATACAACAGAGCAACTTTTTTGCAAGATTAATTTTTATATTCTATGTTCCCTTTACAAATAATTCACTCATTGCAATGCAACAGAACACTCTTCAAAGTCCCTCAATTTACTATTTACTCAGCAGAAAATAACAGTAAGAGCGCTCTGCAGAAAATTAAACATATGTACACGCTAGGAAAAACAGGAAGTGATAGATCTCGCTCAATGAAATTTTATGTGACCGATAGCTGTTTCTGGATATGCGATTTAAAGGTTGCGTTACATATCTGAAGCTTTAGCTAATCGCTCTATAAATAACTTGCAGCGGTGCTTTCAGGCAAACTACTTGTATAAGGTTTCTCAGCAGAGACAGACGTGTATCAAAAAGGGTGACTCTTGAATAAGCACTACAGAAGGAGAAAAAATTCCTAGAAACAGCATCGGAAAAGCTGAGAGAGAAGAGGGGGAAAAAAAATTCTCAAGCAGTTGCTATGCACAGAGGAGCAAGCCGAAAAGATGATGTCTCTTGCTTGTTCATCTCTAGCACGCTGCAATGCAGGAGGCAGTCAGGCCCCAACGGATCTGCAAGCAGCAACATGGTCTGAGCATCCCAGTGGCATCACAGAAATTTCCCTCGACTTGCAATGCTCCTTTTTGATGCTGTAACTCGTAAGATTTCCACAGAAATCTCTGGAAACTCTTTACTTTTAGCCTGATGCTCTAACCTCCCTAACAGCCTCAAGTGTTTTACTTTCAGCGCTTAACCCATAATCGATGCAGCCAAATACAAGCCATTCCTCCTCCTCCTCTTGATTCGAGGAGCTTTGTGCAAAGTCTGCTTTGCATTCTTGCATTATTTACCGAAAAGAGACCAAAAGGCTCCCCAAGGAACACCACCGTTTGCCAAGGCCCATGCATTGCCAAACTGCACTGCCATCCTAGGAGGTGGAATCTGACACAGAGAGCGCCTGGAGGGCACCTGGGCAGGACCTGCACTCCGCGAATGCCTCTGGGCCCAGGCCAGCATTGCAGCCGGGGCCGGCAAGCTTAGCGCTGGGCAGCTCAAAAGCCAAAATTTTGCTTTTGGGCCACTTTCCTATAGAAGGGGATTTCAAAATCACATCAGGACAACTTGGTCTCTATGGAAACAAGGGCTCTTCGGGCAGCGCGGAGCATACCTCAGTGTGGCGTGCGACAGCCGACGGAAGTAGAAAGCTGGCAAAGCTGCTCGGCCAGCTGAACGCTTCAAAGCTTGGCCTTTTTCTTCTTTGTTTTCCCTCCCCAGCTGACAAAAAAAAAAAAAAGATACGCTTTAGGAGAAAGTAGTAGTTAATAGAGCCAAACCCACCACCCTTCACGATGTTCATGGAACGGAGGACCACATCATCTCCAAGTGTGGAGACAAACCGCAGCGTCTCAGAACATCTCCAAGACCGGTAGCGCCTTTTAGCTCTTTATTCTCAATAACGCTAACCTGATGAAAGGAGGAATTGCTTTAATTGGCACAAAAGCCAACTCCAACACTGTAAAAAAGAAATAACGAAAACAGAGCCCTTCCCCACCTGCCGAAGCCTGAAACACGCATAGAGGGTTGGAAGAGCACAGAGTTGGTTTAGGTTGCCTTTCGGAGAGGTCGCTTAAAAGGTAAGTTATTTCCACACCTGCAGCCATCCCCAAGAAGTGATTCTGGTCAACAGAGGGTAAAGGCCCCTGCCCAAAGGTGTCTGCATCCAGTCAAACAGGGCCTAACCACTCCAAAACGATCCTGGTGCGCCTCTTTGCCACTGCCACTCCTCTAGCACTTCAGGGACTTAGTTCCTTCAAAAACCTGCTTTCAGATATCTGCCAACAACTGCTTTTGCCCTGCAGAGAGCTCACCTTCATTTCAGAGCAGGTTCAGCCAGGAGGAAGGAAGTCACGCGACTTCCCAAAGCGACCGAGCATTCGCTGCTTTGCCACGTGGCAGCAGCCTTTAGGAAATAACCCTGCAGATGAGCAAGGACAGCACTGCCCTCTCGGCCTGTGCAGCAGCAGCGAGTGCACAGCGATGACTCTTCGTTGCTTCCAGGAAAACACCAGATGTTCAGTAAGGTTTGGAGCAATGCAGTTATTGAGCACTTCCAAGCAGCGTTAACATAAAATTTTGGGGCAGTTAACATAAAATTTTGGCCAGTTTAGGGTTGCCTGTAGGTTCCTGCAACTACACAATTGGCAACTTTTTTTTTTTTTTTTTTAAACTACGGGGGAAGGTAATTCAGACATCAATAAGTATTGATCTCCACTTTCTTCCTTCTTGACCTGAGAGGCATTCTCAGATTACTTACAAAATGAGGATAATCATAGGTTATTTATCCGCTTTTAAAGAGGATCCCGCCCTTTTTTTCCCCACTAAGGATAACCCCCTGGGTTAAGGAGAGGAGCTGAAGCTCCTGCCCATCTTCTCCTTTAACCAACGCGCAGCAAGGCGAGAAAAGAAGAAGATCAGAAAGGTCAGTTTTCACTGGGACGAGAAAAGGACTTAGACAAGAAACTGTCCTTTTACTGTCACTCAGGGCAGCTCTTCCTGGCACTGAAATCCAAAAGCTAATGAAGATAGATGGGTTCATCCATGCTGTTGGGCTCTGGATACTAATGAAAATTATTTAATGGCCAAGAGCTGTCAGTAGGAGCATTGATTAATCAGCAGAGTTAGGAGGAGAGTGACTCTAATGGCATGTGAGCTACTAATAATAGAGGCCCAATCACTCAGGAAGCATATCTGAAAGGAAGATGATGCAACCGTAGGCTCTCCGCTCACCTTCATTGGAGTAGCAAAGGCAACAACTCTTCCCCAAGGGTCCGCTGGCATCCCTGACCTCCTGCCAGGGACAACGCGCCCAGGATAAGTTGCTACAGGGCCAGGAGCACTCAGGGAGGAACTTTTCCCGAGAACTGGGTGTTTTAAACACCTCTGAGGAGCCCGGTCTTAATTCCTCTCTACCTCAGCTTCCTATCTGCATAAATAAGACTCCTTCCCCCCCCACCACCACCTCCCTTTCAAGCATAAGCTGCTCAGAGCAGGAAATCTCTCTCCCTATGTGCGTACAGGGCTGGGGAGCGGGGAGCTTGTTCTGGGGCTTTTCTACACTCCTGTAAAACAAACAGAAAAAGAATTAACAAAACTGACCCCTGGGAAAGGAGGGTGCACTTAAGATAAGCTCCCGGGTGCCTGGAGAAGTGCAGGGAATTATGATGAAATAGCTGTATCATATATACACACATTTGTTAAAGCAAATACTGACACAGCTGGGAGACACTGACAGCTCTGCAGAGTAAGACTAATTTCCAAGCGCTGAAAATCATCTTGGTGGAAGGCTTAGGGGTAAAAATTATCCAGCCAATCTGACAGAGTGGTCATAATTTCGGTGTCTAATGTCTCAGTAATGCCTAAGCCACAAATTACTGTTCTGCATCAGCAGAAAGCAGAGGTCTTAACGCTTTTTGTTGACATGGCAGACTCGATCACCAGCTAGAGAGATTTGGAAAATAAAGACAGCCCCTCTGCACCATCTTTACTGCCAGTGAAGACGCAGGCACAAGTCAAAGAGGAGAAAGATCCCGGCCTCTTTTCCAGTTTGTTAAAGGATCCTCCAAGCTCTAAAACACCCCCTCCGTAGTTCTAAAAAGAAAAAAAGAGTTTCCATTCTCTAAAGTGGAACTAAATCCTCCAGCAGTGTAAATGGAAAGGAGTAAAAGAATGAAGAGCAGTGTATTATTTCTTCCTCTTAAACTAAACGCAGAAGAGATCTCAGGTTGCCCCTTACATTTTGTCAGAAGATGGTACCTCAAAGACAGTAAAAACCTCGCACCAGTTTCATCCCTGCTCATTGGCTATTTTTGTCAGTGGATCGCACGCAAAACGTGACCCAGAACCACATCAACTGTCTAAGCTCTGATTTTTCCAGTTCATGGTTCATCTTCAAAGTACTTTACAAAATCATTTAATGAAAACTAGATGCCACCGCTAGAAATTCGAGCATTAAGTTCCAGTCCACACCCAACCTCCAGGAGGAGCAATTCAGATCCCAAATTGTGCACTACCTCGGAACAGACAGGGTAGGTAAGACACACCCCGACTTCGTCTCACTGGACAGACTCTCCTCCTGCACCGCCACATTTTGTGAGCTGGAGAACTGCAATAGCACCAGGAGGCTATCCAAAAAAAGCAGATGCTAAGCAGAAGTCCAAAAAGAGTCTCCCTGGTGTAGCACAGCTCGCCCAACGGAGCAATGACCAATGGCTCAAAAGGCTCCTGCGCGTGGGCCATCCACCCAGGGCAAGTTCAGGCAACACACTGGGACCTCTAGCAAAGAAACCAGCCGGCCACAGAGACCACCAATTACCTGCTCAAGCAGCTAATCAGCTGCAACTACCAGTCTGGAGTGAATCAGCCTCACCTGCTCAACTGTGCATCAGAAAAGAGGGTTGAGTTATTGCAGAGCCCGTGGTCATGCAGGCCTAGAGAGAGGGCTCCAGCCAGCCAGCAGTGTCTGTATTTATTTGTGTGCTGGGCATTGATTTCAAACTGCTGATCAATAGCCGATTCCTAGAGAGAAACACTCTCTCTGCTTCTGTAAGGGCACACGGGTTGCTTTCTGAGACTACGGATGCATGCCCTTGCTGCCACGGTAGGTAAGGGCACATAACATCTCCCAGGTGGCGCCGGAGCTGTCAGTCCTTTCTCCCAAACCCTGCTTGATCCAGGAACTGGAATCCGGGGAGAAACGTTCCCTTTTTGCTCTCTCTGCTCTTCCTCTGCCCTTGGTCACTGGGCCTGTTCCTGCCCCAGCTCTGCTTGAGCCATCTGTTCCTCTGTAATTGAATGTAAAGGCAGTTTGTCCAGTGCTGTAGCCACTATGCCAACTTGGGAGGGGCAAGCACCAGTAGATGAGCTTTGCTGAGCACCCTGATATGCCAGTAGCAGCTTTCCTCAAACACATCCTCGCATCGGAAACCCTCCCATACCACAAAACCAGCACATCTCCCCATCACGGGGCACGCGGGTGCTCACCTTCCCTTCACGTGACCAGCGCGAGGAACAAGCTCTCACAGGGACCTGCTGGAGTGCTGAACGTTCACAGCTGCTGTGCAAGATACCCTCCTTCCAGAACAAGAAGCAAGTCTTTTTCCCAGCAAAATCCTCCTTCCCAGCATTGCAACTTCCAACACTGTCACCAAAGTCTTGGCTCTTCACGATGCATCGAGCAGCCAGTAGCAGCCTGCAGCGCAAGCTCTCTTGCCACGGGACGTTAGGTCTGAGATAACAACAGGGGGCATCTGGTGCCACCAAGCAACGTCCCACAGGAGTTCAAGGCACCAGTGATTTTCCAGTTCAGCTCAGAGACGGCCACCTCCCTTTCCCCTTCCTCCCTCCCCATTCAACACCGACTTTGGAAGGTCATAAATCCAGCCTACCCCAAGTAACAATTTCCAAGACTGATTCAGGGCAACAAAGGCCACAAACAAAGCATCGAGCTGCAAGGGTATTTCACGAGCATGACAGTCTTCTGGCGATGCTTGCACCTTCCCTCTCAAGCTCCAGCGGTTCA